ACCTGCCCTCCAGCCCACGTTTCCAGAACCTACATCCTTTGATCCAAGCTTTTTCCAGGATGTTTTTGATCCAGCAAAGGGAACTCGGCTCTCCAGTCACCAGCGCTGGGGATTTGTGCGCACAGAACGAGTCGACCTCAGGGGAAATGCAGATTTCTCTTCCTGTTGTGAAGCTGAATTTCCTCCTCACGCAGCAGCCAGGAGTGTTCCATGGTGAGGGAACAGAAGTGTCTCAAGGATGGATCCAAGGCTGCTGGTGCAGCCCCAGCTCCTGACCCTGGGCACCCCTGGCTGCTCTGAAGCTGCTTTTGCACACCCAGATGTCACTGTGATATTTTCTGAAAAATTCCTTCACCAGGATTTCTTCTCCTGGGAAGCTGAGAAGCTTCAGCTTCTCCCTGTTTTGCTGCTTTGGAATGTGGTATGGAGATTGTTTTCCAACATGTGAATTGTTTAAATTTAATGACCAATCATGGTCCAGCTGTGTCAAGGCACGAGTTTTTATTATTCATTCTTGTTAAGCCTGCTGATGTATCCTTTCTCTGTATTTTAGTATAGTTTCAGTATAGCATGATCTCATATCAAATCAGCTTTCTGAGAACATGGAGTCAGATTTATCTCTGGGACCCTGGCAAACTCCACACCCAGAGCCACAGGAATGCGGGAGATCTGCCCCAAGGGAATCTCCTCTTTGTGTGCTGAGTTACAGCCCAGGCCACAACCTGACACTGCTGACAGCTCTGGCTGCTCCCACGCCCCCAGGGCACCTTCCCAGGAATCCTTCAAGGATTTCAGCCTCAAAGCACACCTGCAGCAAAGAATTCCATGGGGAGTTCTGTGCCCTGTGCAGCAGCATTCCTGCCCAGTAATATCATCTGTAACACCTTTCAATTCCTCTGGATTCCTCCTTACTCCCCAAATGCCAGATGAATTAGGAATTGCTGACTTCCTGCCCCAGGTTTCTGTATTTTCTGTGCCCCTTGCACAGCCCCTTGCCTGCCTCCTCCCTGGAATAAAGGATTCAGGAGCTGTCAGTTTTCCTCAGGAGCCATTTCAGAGATGGGGGAGCAGCCTGAGAATTCCAACAATGCCTCAGAAATCCCAGACCTCATTCCACGTTTCATGATCAGGCTGACTGCAATTAAAATTAGTGAGACTGAGAGATCAGCAGTGCTGGCTAAGCCACTTTTACATTATGAGCTCTTAACTGATTTTTTTATTAAGTCAATTTTATCTCTTCTAATAAAGCCAAACCTTCCACTTAGGATGGAAGGGAACAACAACCCTGCTCAAACTTTCTGCATGATGAGCTTTCATTTCACTCTGTTTGCCTCTAAATTTTGCTTTTCCCCTGCAGTTAATATTTATAACTTTATCCAGTGAGGAGGAATTTGATGGTCTTGCGTTGATGGGAAATTTTGCTTTGAATAATTCTGGTTTTAGTTCCTCCCTGCTCAGCTGGGATTAGGAAAAGCCACGTTCCTGACTCTGCTCGAAGGGGAGGTAGGGACCATTAAAGGTGAGGAACCTGCTCCAGTCTCTGCATGAGAAGAGCACCTTGACAGCAGTGTGGACATGGAAAAACAACATTTCCCTGGGTGTGGAAACCCAGGGCACAGGGAATATTTCTCTGTCTGCTCTGGGGTGCCCTGACCCCCAGGGCAGCACTGACTTTGACCCTCATTCATGGAGAAAGTTTCCTAGACTTCAAGATAGACTGGAATCCACAAAAGTGTGAAATAGATTCTAGAGAGCAGTGTAGGTGTGTCACTGGGTGAGAAATTTAGGTTTTGGGATGAATCATCTCCTGGTGTCACCCACCTGTACCCAGGGACACTTCCACTGTCCCAGGCTGCTCCAGCCTGGCCATGGACACTTCCAGGGATCCAGGGCAGACACAGCTTCTCTGGGAATTCCATTCCAGGGCCTGCCCACCCTCACAGGCCAAAATTCCTTCCTGAAGTCTTACTGAAATCAAGGTTTTCCAGGTTTTCTGGGAATTGTTAGTTTTCCTGGAGGAGGCAGTATGAGCACTGTCCCTGTCCCTGGTCAACAGCTCCCTGAGAGCCACAATCTTCAGATTATTGATACAATTTCTGACCTGTGGCAAGCCTTAAATAGAGGAGATTCAGGAAGTGGAAATCTGATAGTGTGAGGAATTTGAGTGGATTAGTCATAGAGGATTAAGAGCAAGCATTTGAAGAAAAGCTTAAATGTAGCATAAAAATATATTAGAATCTTTTCAGACATTCCTTATGGGCTTAGCTCATTGGCAAAGTGTTGGGGAGGGTGAAATGTAATAAAACAAGAGGAAAAACTCCCCTTGCACCAATGCAAACAGGGAGGAATTTGCATTCCCAGGTCTTTGCATATGTATATGGGTGAATTTATATAAATATGCATTTAGACACACATTATGTATAGATTTTCACTTGACATCAGACACTTCAGCAAGCAGCAGTGTATAAAAATATAAAAGGAAAGTTTCATGAAGTGCAGGAGACAGAAAACTTCAGTTGGTGAGCAAGACAGAGCTTGGGGATGAAAGATAAATTAGGAGTGACCAGGGCTGGGAGAGCCTTTGGCAGGTCTCCTCCTGCCTGACAATGCAGAGAGATTGTCACAAAATAACCCCAAACACCTGGAGCAGCTGTGCAGAGGGATGGATCCTTCCTGGGCTGAAATCCAGGCCAGAGGAAGCTGCACAGCAAGCTCAGTCCCCAGGTCCAACCCCCAGGTTTTCCTGGGGAAATCTCCCTGTTTGCAAAGCCAGGTGTCTGCTAAGGAGGGCAGGAGCCTCACATGAAATGGAAAATGCAAACCCCCTCCCTCTGAATGATTATGATTTTGAAATTAAGGGGCTCTCAGGCAAAGGTATGGGAGTAGGAATAACAGTTGTTTATTAGAGAAAAATAAAAATCAGTAATACAAAACACCACTGCCAGAGTGAGAACCTGCCCTGTCCCTCTGTGTGTCAGGGTGGTGGCACAGTCCCATCCCATGGGGGCTCAGCCCTCCTGCAGTGCCAGCTGTGCTTCTGCTGGAGCAGGGATCCTGCACAAGGCTGGAGTTTTCCTCTGAAGCTCCAGGGCTGCTGTGGATGGGCCTGCTCTTCCTCTGGGAATGCAGGGCAGGAGAAAGCTGCTCCTCTGGGAATGCAGTGGGCAAAGGCTGCTGTGCTGTTCCAGGCTCAGATTGTATCCAGGTAGGAATGCTTGGCTCCTGCCCTGGGCGGAGCATCTCCCCATGGGATGCTGGAATTTGATCAGCCCTGCAGGGACACTCCCTGGCCATGAACAGCAGAGATCTCCTGGAGGGAGGATTGGCTGTGGGAGAGATAAAGAAACCTGCCCCATGGACAGAGAGAACTGCCCAGCTCTGACAGATGGGGATAGATTTCCCACCCAGCCCCATTTCCAACCCCAGGCACTCCCATGTCCCTGTGCCAGGCCCAGGCCGGGGCTGTGCAGGAGCAAAGCTGCAGAGAGCTCCCTGCACTCGCTAATTTGCCCTCCAGAGAACCAGCTGGGGCAGAATTCTCCCTCCAGCAGGAGCAGCTGCACTCCCTGGAGCCCCTGGAGCCACGGGAAGCAGGAGCCTGGGACAGCTTCCCCCTTTTCTGGGGAGAGGAAAGCAAGGAATGGGAAGCTCTGCTCCAGGCAGGACTGCAGTGCCCAGCGAGGGACTCAGCTCTGCCTTTGGGTGCTCTCTGATGTGAGGATTGTTTTCCTGGTGTGATATCCTCATTTACATCCTCTCTAATCCAGAGGCTTCATTAAGAAGTTGCCAAGAATCAACATTTTGACTGTTCCAGCCTTTAAGTGCCAAGGCTGGATAATTTTCTGCAAGCTGAAGGAAGGAAAGTCCCTCTGTAGGCAGCTGCCACTTGTTCCATGGCTGCTTGAGCCAGTTTTGGCTGCAGCAGATGCCCTCCCCTGGGTTTCACTCTCTCTGGACACATCAGTGGCAACTCCCGTGGTTCCAAACTCCCTTCCATCAGGTATCCTGCTTCAGGATGGATTTTCTGTGGGGCAGGATGGAGTTTCCTTTGGGCAGAAAGCTCCTGGCAGCAGAGGAAGGAGCCAGCCTACTTTTCACAGCTCATTTCTGTCTCAAAGTGTGGACATGAGGAAGGTGGAGAGGGTGGGATGTGACTTCAAGGCAGATGGAAATGCACAAGAACAGTTGCTTAGCACCTATAAAAGTCAGGCCCACTCCTTCACAAGATCTGTGTGTATTTAGGGATCCACACTTGAATTCTGGCCTCTGAATAACCCAAACCCATGGCAGCTCTTTGGGGATGTGTGCTGATGAAATAAACAATGATATTAAAAGTCACACTGATCCTGGCAGCAAGCAGGAGACAAATTTTGTGCTATCTGTGCTTGGGAGCTTTGCTAGCCATTAATGAATGAGAAGGAGCAGGAAAAGGGGCTGGAGGAGCCCAGCTCCACAAGGATTCCTCCGCCCGTGGGGCAGTAGGGTTCAGCAGCAGCTCCAGCCTTTGTCTGAGCAGGAGATGCAAATTAAAGATTTGAGACAGAGGTGGATATTCCACCTGGGCTGTTGGATGTGGTGCTTGGGAATGGGTCCAGCATCCATTTCTCTGGGGCTGGATCAATGCAGCACAGCAGGACAGAGCCAGAAACGGGAAAGGAAAAGGCTGAGAAATGCCCGACAGGATGGATGTGCTGAAAAGCGCTCGGGAGCTGAAAACATTCCTTTCATATTGCTCTCTATTTCCTACTTGATTAGGAAACCGCACCTAGTGAAAGGAGCGGGAAATTGCCCTGGTTAATGGCCAGGGGAAAGGAGAAAGCAGCCGAATTCCCGTCTGCTCCCTGCCTTTGTCTCCGGCTCTCTCTGCCGGCGGCCGTGCCTAGCTCGGCTTTCTCTCGCTGACCTGATTCCGCACCGCACGCTCCTCCCAGCTCGGTGAGGCTCCCATGTGATCCATTCTTCCCCCTAAATAAAGTTGACAAATTCGGCTGGGCTCAGATGGTGCTGCCGAGGGGGAGTGCCGCGCTCCCACCCTCGCTGCAGCTGCGGCAGCGCCGGCCCGGGGCCACCGCGGGGCTCGGGGCTCCCGCCCGGCCCGGGGCTCCTGCCCGGGGCTCCCGCCCGGGCTGCCGGCCGCACACAGCCCGGAGCCGGAGGACGCGGCCGGAGCCGGTGAGTGAGCGGCGGCGGTGGCTCCTTTGTGCGGAGCCGCGGGCGCTGGAGGGAGGGAGGGAAGGAAGGAGGGAAGGGGCCGCGGGGCGATCCCGAAGCAGCCCCAGCCCCGTGCCCTGCCCGCGGTGCCCCGGGCACGGTGCCCCTGCCCTGGGATGCGCCTCTGGAGCCGGTTCCCGGGAGCGGCGGCGATCGCCCGGCGCGGGCAGCGCCTGCGGCACAGCCCGGGGATGCTCCGCTGCATCCCGGCCCCGCAGCCCCGCGGGGACACGGCACGGCACGCCTGGCACCGGGGCACGGCTGGCACGGCACGCCTGGCACCGGGGCACGGCACGGCACGGCACGGCACGCCTGGCACCGGGGCACGGCTGGCACGGCACGCCTGGCACCGGGGCACGGCTGGCACGGCACGGCACGCCTGGCACCGGGGCACGGCTGGCACGGCACGGCACGGTGGCACGGCACCGTGATCCAGTGTGCAAGGCTGGCACTGGGTTGGCACGGCACAGCACCGGGCAGCGTGGGACCGACGTGCGGGCTGAATGGCACGGCACGGTACCGGGGCAGGGTGGCACGGCACGGCACGGCTCTGGGCAGCGCGGTACCTGCCTGGCACGGCACTGAGATACCTGCGTGCAAGGCTGGCACGGCACGGTGATACCTGGGCTGTGAGGCTGGCACGGCACCGCGGCAGGCAGCGTGGGGCCGGTGTGCAGGCTGGCACGGCACGGCACCAGGATGGCCACGGGCCAGAGTGGCACGGCACGGTACCAGCGACTGGCACGGCCCCTGGCAGGCTCCAGGGCTGCCCTGCCCGCGCCGCTGGTCCTGCTCCGGCCCCAGCTGTGCCAGGCGCGCCCCTCCGGGCTGGGTGCCCCTCTGCCCGGCTGCCAGAGCTCCCGGGGAGCTGCTCCCAAAGCTGCACCGGGCACCGCTGGGCACAGCTGCCCCTGCTCTCCATCCCGGGCTCCTGGCATCCCTGAGCCTTGCCACCCCTCCCTCCTGCCCCCCGAGCTGTGTCCCTGGGGTGCCCCGTGCCCCCCAGCCCCGGCGGTGCTGCCGTGGCCAGCTCCCACCATTCCCCGAGCCCACATGGCTTTTCCCGTCTGGAATGGGGTTGCCCTCCGAGGAAGGGCAGTGCTGGAAGCAGGGAATGCTCCAGTCTTCACTCCCTCCTTCTTCCCCCAGCCTCGGCGCTGGGACCAGCTCGCTGCGCACCAGCTCGGCCCCCTGGGCTGCAGCTGGGGAGGGCAGGGAAGGGTGGTCCTGCTCACCTGCAGCTCCCAAATCCCACAGAAACTATTCCCAGTCTGTGCTGTGGGAACAGTAATGCGATTTTATTCCAGAAATGTACAAAGTAGCTGACACTCATCACTCCCCCTCCCAGCCCCTGCTCCCTCCCACCCTTTAACTTCTTCTTTTCCTGCACAATTTAAAGGTGAAATTCTCTGAGTAGTGAATTTATTGCAGTCCTAGAGTGGGCCTGTTCTTGAAGAGCAGGAGAGTTTTCTTCTGAAAGGAGACGGATGAAAACTGGAATGTTCAAACAATCTCTAGTTCTTTTGCAATATTTTTAAAAATAAATCTATCCCTGCGGGAGTTTCAGTCAGATTTTAGATCCAAGAGAAAGGCTGCAGTGTCCCAGCTGTAATGGCTTTTCTTGCTCCCAGTAGGGCAGGAGAAAATAGAAAAGGAGAGATTAAATAGGGAGAGGGACGCAAAACCAGATCTGATTTGTTCATCCCTTCACAATTAGGCCAGAATTAAATCCCTCCTTCACCTGCACACAAAATGAGAATTGCACAGGAAGGCCATTGGTGGGCCCTGGTTGTATTTTATGGGGGTTCTTAGCTTTGGGGGTTTCATTTGAGTTCAGTTCTAAACAGCTTTCAGTTTCCATTTCCCTTCTGACTCAACAATTAATCATCCACCTCTACCTGCACTACTTGTCCTGGCTCCAAAATCCTGGAACTTTGGGGCAAACTGAGCCTAAAAACAGCAAATGGGAAAAAAAAAATCACTGAGCAATTTAAGCTCAGTGCAGGTTTGGGGACTGCTCACCCCAGGGCTTGTGTTTGTACAGAATAACATCTGAATTATGGACCAAGGGGAAATTCCCAGGCTGCCTCTGTCATCACAGGATGGAGCTGCCCCTGATTTTGGAGAGGAAGAGCAGCATAAAAAAGAAGTCTGAACCACATCAGCAGTGAGTGATGCTGATCATTTCAAAGGGACAAAGAATCCCCATTCTGCAGGGTGTGCTCTTGGGCTGGTGATGGAAGCTCCTGTGGCAGGAATGGCTGAGTAGGAAAACCCACCCTCCAAAGGCAGGAACAGTGGTGCTGCTTGGAGAAAAACAACTGCAGAGCTTTCGGAAGGCAGGGAAGCCTCTTTGGAAGGGAACACCTGGATACAGCACTGTTCTCCAAACTTAAAAGGGGGAAAAAACCCAGACCCTTTCCTAGAGAAAAAAACCCAAACTATTATTATTGTTGTTGTTGTTGTTATTATTATTATTACTCCTCCTGTGAAAAAAATAACCCCAGTGTTTCCTCCTCACATGTTTGTGCTGGCTCAGTCCTCACACCTCTGGGAGCACTCCATGGAGATTTAAAGCCACCCTAAAAATGGCATCCGAGCACTCCAATGCTCAGGATAATAAACTTTCCTCACATTTCCTGCACAAGAAGGTTAAAATATCTGTCCAGATGCCTTCCAGGGGCTGCTTTAGGGAGGGAGTCCATCAGGTGTTCAGCCTGTCCATGGCTGAAGTGCAGCTTGCTCCTGGAGCAGGAACCATTCCAGAGGGATTTGGACTTGGCACAGAGCAAAGCTGAGATTTGCCAAACCAGGCAGTGACAAGGAGGCTGTGATCACACCCTCAAAGCTGCTGCTGTTTATCAAATCACACTTAGGCTGAATTAACACATTAAACTATCAGAGGTCACCACTAAAATCAGTGGGATGGAGATCAGCTTCAGAGAGAGCTAAAGGCAGGCACACCTGTGGCTTTAATTAATCTCCACTTCAAGGATTACTCGACTAAAATGAAAGCCAGAATTAGCCTCACGTGGGTCCTCTGTGCAGCAAATGCCCAGGGAAGCAGCACCTTGCATTTATGGTCCTGCTGAGCACAGCCCCTGCCCACAGCAGCTCCCAAAAATGGAGTTCCCTGGATCCCAAAAATGTCCATGGGGTTGTTTTGCTCAGGATCCCCCAAGCAGAGGGAAGATGGGATCAGGTTCTGCTCTAAAATTACCTGGGTTTCTTGTGCACAAAGTTCTCCAAGCCCAGGGAGAATCAGGATCCCACCAGATACTGATCATTTTATAGGAACACATCTTTCCCCTGGCCCGTGGATCTGGCCAGGGCTGGAATGAGAGATCCCAAAACTCCCAGCCTTTTCCTCTTCTTCAGGAATAACAAAGGCAGAAGACACTGAACAGCAATGAAGAGCAGAGATTTCTTGTTCTCTGGGATAAAAGCAGGGCTGGAGTTTTGTACACTTAATTAAAAGATTAATTGGCCTGCTCCAGCCTTTCTCTGAGGTGCCAGCTCTGGCACTGGGGGTGAGCACAAGGGGATTATGCAAAAGTCATTCCTAGGGGTGGCCACGTGGAAAAATCGAGCACAGATCATGTTTCCTCTTTGGAGGTTAACGATACAGAAGAAAGAGGCACAAAGGGGTTTAATGTGAGGACTTTGCAGGGAAATCCGTGGAGTTGGGCACCCACAAACCTGGTGACACTACAGAATGCATGGGAGCAGCACACACCCCAAAGGACACAGAACCCCCAGGAATTAAACTCAGCAGCACTTTGGAGACTTGAAACCTGCAGATTTCCAAAAGAATTTAAGCATCCAAAATTAAATACATATATATTTATAGGCCTATTTTAAATACTCTCATAGGCCTTCTGTTCCTATGAGTTTATGGAAGATGCAGCAAGGCTAAAACATCTCACTGTGTTTTTCCAAGCATTTTCTGTCTTCTCCCATCCCTTCCTCCTCCTTGTCCCCCTCCCACTGCTCCCACTCCCTTTTATCTGAGCACAAGTGTTGGAGTTGATGTCTCCTCTGCTCCCCAGCTCAGGAGAGGAGGAGAAGGAGCCCTTTCCACACCAGGTTTAAGCGTGAGGGACACCTTTCATCCCAACGCTTTCACATCAAAAAGATGCAAATGGAGAGAGAGGAGCTGCATTCTTCCCTAATGCAATTAAAATGGAAGAGGCAATTTGAAAGGCTGCGGGGAGATTTACAAAGCTGAAGAAAGAAAGCTGAAGGCAAAAGGGAAGAAAGCAAGCCTGAAACTATGTTTAAAAAAATCAATATATATTTAGGGTTACATAAATGAAGGGAGTAATTCAACAGTGGGAAGAGCACGGTGAGTGGAGGATGAGGAGATGAGACACCAAGACAGAACCCAAGACTCTCCTGCTGTCAAAGAGATTTTTTCCATCAGCTCCCAAGGAGGGTTTGTGGTTTCAGGGCAGACACCTTTCCTCTGGAAGCTGCTTTTGTGTTCCTTGGAGAACAGGGCTGCTCCTTTTCCCCGGGCTTGGTTTGATGTCCTGCTCAGCCCCATCAGGAAGTGTGAGTTATCCCCAGGGTCAGGGATGTGCCATCAGCTCCCTTTGCAGCTGCAGCAGCTCACTGGGATTCCTGCCCTTCATCCTTCCAAAGAACCTGAAAATCCCAGACATTCACTGAACTCGGCCACGCTGACTGAAATCTAAACCAGACTTCTCCAACTACATAAAAGCCCCAAAACACATCCAGTAAAACTTAAGTCTGCTCTTCCACACAGTGTTTGGATTTTTCATTTATTTATTTTTAGGAATACAGTGCAAATTGTCATTTCTGTCTTGGCTGTAACACTGATAACATCACTACTGCCAAGTCTGGCAAACAGAGGCAGGGTTTGCCCTAATGAAAGGGAGGACTCCCAGGGAAATCAAAAAGCTGTTGATGAACATTCTTATCTCTTTTCAGTAATTCAGTATTTGACACATGCCAATAACCTGAATTCATCTTGAGACACTGGCTTTTTTTACTGTCATTTCCTTTCAAATCGCTTTCAACCCTCTCTTACTTTCTGCCCTTAAAAAACTGTAAAAAAACCCTCAAAAATCTATTTCTCTCTGAGGTTCTCAAAGGTCAGACTTGGAGAACAAAGGGAAGACAATGCCTGTCCTAAGGATATTACAAATCAAGGAGCAGATTTTGTCCTCCCCATCTTGTACTGAGTTGTACTTTACTTTATAACTTGCTGAAAAAGACAAGGGAATGTGAGCCAGGGTAGGAAGGTCCATCCCAAGGCAGGGACGTGCTACACCCAAGAGCCTGAGCTTGTGTAAGTCCCAGAATAAAATATTATTATTTCGTTAAAAGCTTTAAAAATTAATTCAACTTCCAGATTTTCTAATGTGCTTGCACAAGAAGTTTATTCTAACAAATCTCCAGATTTAAAAAAATCACATTATTTTTGTCAATACTTCCATCTTTCTAATATATTTTAATGGGAATTAAATGTGCCCAGCCCTGAGCTCCTGATTGCAATGTTTGCAGTGCTCAGGCCACTGAAGGCTTATGACTCACTCAAACCCAAGGAAACAATCTCAACTTTATTTATTCTCTGCTGCTGGAATTCAGCTAAAGCCTGGAAGAGGTTTGGGCATTTTAATGGGAAGTGCCTCCTGAAGATGTACCAGTGAGATTCCAGAGGATGGGATGGGAGCTGACCATCCCCAGCCTGCACCTCACCGTGTTCCTCTGCTCTGGAGAGGGGCACAGCATCCCTGCTGGCCCTGCCTGCTCGCCTGCCAGGCTGGGCTGTGCCAGCAGCAGCTCTGTCACCCTTGTGCCACCAGCCCTCCCATCACAGCCACCCAGACATTCCCAGCAAGGAGCTTCTCCCTGGAGCTCCCTCTGCACTGCTCCTGCCTGTGCCCACACCAGGCAAGGCTGCAGCCATGGCTGCCACTTTTTGGGGTGTCTCCCACGCTTTGCTCTCCAGTCTGGTTCCCCAATCCATCCCTGAGCAGCAGCAAGGAGCATTCCTGGCCCTCAGGCAGCAGAGGTGGCACTGCTGTGTCACCCATGGGAACCGTGGTGGCCCTGCTGTGACCCACAGGAGCAGAGGTGCTGTCACCTGTGAGAATCACGGTGGCACTGCTGTGTCACCCATGGGAACCGTGGTGGCCCTGCTGTGACCCACAGGAGCAGAGGTGCTGTCACCTGTGAGAATCACGGTGGCACTGCTGTGTCACCCATGGGAACCGTGGTGGCCCTGCTGTGACCCACAGGAGCAGTGGTGGCACTGCTGTGTCACTCATTTGAGCAGAGGTGCTGTCACTCACAGGAGCAGTGGTGGCCTCAGGTTTGGTCACTGTCACTCTGGAGGTCCCAGCGAGGCACCAGCAGAGCCCTCGGGGCTGCTCCCAAGGGATTTCCCCAGAAACGCCGTTTCCTTCCCCGAAGTGCAGCCGCAGCCCAGGCAGAGCTTTGCGGATCTGAGGTGGAAAAGCTTTCCTGGTTTGGTTTGGATTTCGCCCCCTGCGCTGGTGGGGCCGTGACAAACATCACCCTGCCCCTCCCGGGGCAGCGCAGAGCCGGCCCCAGCCTGACTCTCGGTTTTGTTCTCTCCTCCCCAGGAACCCCAGGGCTGTGGGCACGGATGGGATGAGATCCAGGCCAAGGTAAGTTTGACAAGACCAGATTTCCCCGGTGCTGAGACATCCCCCTCTGCACTTCCCTGGCCAGGTGAGCCCTTGGCTGCTCCATAAATCAGAGGGGCATTTCTCAGCTCCTCAAGTGCTTTTATTGCAGTTCCTTTCTCCAGGCTGCTTGAGAGAGATGTTGAACACACGGCCAAGGAGCACTGAAATATTCTGTTGTCACCCCTCCTGATGCATGGCTTGCCAGCAGTGCCCCTTGTAGACATTCATCACAGACAGGCCACGGTGCACTGGGCCCCTCGTGTGAAACGAGCTTTCCATCAGCTCTCCCTCGGCAAAATCTGAGTTCCAAACTTCCTTGAAAATCCCCATTTCTCTCTGACTCTGTGAACATATTGTTCCAAGCTGGCAGGAACTGTTATTTACATCTTTTAGCACCAACAGAATGCTGAGCTATGTAAACAGTGGTTATTACTAATCAGAATGTGCTGTTAATTAGGAAAAGAGACCCTCAGTTCTCTGTGAGCCTGAGTGAGATGAACTTTATTTCTATAAAGAGGATGAACTGCATCCTATCAAACACAGCATCTCCAAACAATGATGCTCCAAGATCTCTGAAACCTAATTTTGGCCTCCAAGCATTTGGGAGGAGGGTGGAGGGGGTTTGGAGCAAGCTGTTGTTTGAAATAAATAGCCCTGAATGTACTTACAGCTCCTCAGAGGAAAATACCCCGAGGCAAATCCTCCTGTCCCGATTGGAAGCAGGAATCCAGAGCAGAGCAGCCTTGTTCATCAGGTTGAACTCCAAAATGGGATTTGGATCATGGATGGAATGGGGAGGGCAGAGCAGCTTTGTGCTTCAGAAGTGCTCAGATGAGTGAATTTTTTAGGATTTGTCACACACAGCACATATCAAAAGCAAATTACTTAAAAGTCTTTGAAATTCCAGCAGAATTGTGGAAGGAAGGGAGGGTTAAATTCCAGTTTACAGCTCAGTGCCTGTAGGGGAGCTCACCTCTCCACTAATCCAGGGTGGTTTTTCACCCAGGATCTTTCTCCAGATCCCTGATTTGCAATCAGTGAGGAAACCTCCTCAATCCCACTATAACTAGAACTCCAGAGGATTAAAACCCCAATTTCCAGCCCAGTCCAAGAGCAGATACATAGAGGAGGGGAAGTTAAACCCCTTCATTAATGTGAGAACTCCTGTTTGCAGCTGATTTTGTGACTGTGGGTAATGTGCATGAGAGGCCTTTGATTTCCCTCTCTTCTGGGAATATTTTGGAAAGGAAAAAAGACTTTCAGTGATAGAAAGTTACACTTGTTGCAGCACTTGTTTTGCTTTCAGCCCCAGGACGAGCTCGGCCACCACTGGAAAACTGATTGGATTTTCTCCAATGATCTCTTGCAGAAAACAAGGAATCCCAAACTGGCAGCTGGCTGAGCCCTCCCTGCCCCTTTTGATGAAGAAGGCAGCACGTTCCTGACCCCAGCACCTGGGATAAAGCTGTCCTGTGCGGGAGACTTCGTGCCACAAGCTGCAGGTGCTGCTCTCCCTGGCTGCAGACGCCGCTGCTGAGCCTCCCCATGCCTGCAGCAGCCGGAGCTGGCTCTGCGTGCTGACAGGGCACTCCCAGACCTGCTTCTCCAGGCTCCTGAGAACAGCTCCCGAGTCCCAATGAGGCCCAAGCTGAGGGAGGCTCCTGGAGCTGCGCTTTTGGCCTCGGCAGACTACGAGAACTTTGCTGATGTGAACTCCACCAGGGACACGGAGAGCGAGCAGCTGGAGGGGTCCCTCTCGTCCACCATCGCCCTCGCCGTCGTGCTGGTCATCATCTTCTCCCTGGTGCTCACATCCCTCATCACCTACTGCTTCCACAAGTGGAAACTCAGAGGGAAAAGACTGCAGAAAGCACAAGAGGAGTATCAGAGAGACCAAGAAAAGAGCATTTGCCAAAGCACACCTGGACTTGTTTCATAAAGAGAGAAAACCAGGATCCACCGTGAAGTACTCTTGAATTACCTGAAAATGAAAATCATGACAGAACTGCAAATTTGGAATTTCCAAGCAAATACATCCTTGTTTTATCTCATTTCTAAGAGTTGTTAGCAGTTTGGAGATTTCCTACAGCTTTATTATACACACACACACATATATATATATATTTATACATTAAGTCTCAATTGTGCAAACTAAAACCAATGCAATGATGTATTTTTAATCTTTTCTGTCATTTTAATCCTCACTGGACAAACTGACGGTGCCTGTGAGGATGGGCAGGCCTTGGCACAGATTCCCAGAGCAGCTGTGGCTGCCCCTGGATCTCTGGAGGTGTCCAAGGCCAGGCTGGAGCAGCCTGGGACAGTGAGAGGTGTCCCTGCCACGGCAGGGCTGGAATGGGATGAGTTTTTAGCTCCACTCCAACCCTAACCACACTTTTCCGTGTATTACTGAACCAGTAAATTTCAATCTGTTGCTTTCACTCTTTCACAAACCCCCTGGAAGGTGAAGAGGCAGATTTGGGGTATCCAAATACCTCACAGTGGTATTTGGAGAATGGTTTTACTTGCAGGAGGGCTGCTTTAGACCAGATACAAGAAGGTTTTTACACTGAGGCTGGGCAGGCCCTGCAATAGAATTCCCAGAGAAGCTGTGGCTGCCCCCGGATCCCTGGCAGTGTCCAGGGCCAGGCTGGATCACCCTGGGACAGTGGGAGGTGTCCCTGCCATGGCAGGGTGGGCTAGGGGGCCTCTGGAAGGTCTCTTCCAACTCCAGCTCTTCAATGATCCTACACTGGACCACTGGGACCACAGAGGATTTCCTCAGTAGCTGGAAATCCAAATTCAAATATCCCAGAGCAGCTCAGCTGCCCCAGCCCAGGGGAGCTGTGCTGCACTGGGGCCAGCAGGGCTGCAGGTGTTGCAGGCATGTGCAGGTGTCGGGTCCCATCTGGTGCTGCCAGGCTGCTCCTCAAGAGCTGCTCCTGGGCCCAGAGTGACAATTCAGTGCTTCCTTCAGGGCTGTGCTGAGAGCTGCTCCTGGCATTCCCACAAGTGGATTAAGGACATCCAGTGTAAATGGAACTCAAATTCCTACGGGAAGAGACAGCCTAAACCCCTTTTTTTTTAATTAGCCATCAAATCCTTTTTAAACCACCCATATCACGGAGTGTTTCTATTTCCATAGCCTGTCCTGTGATGTCACAGAGAAATGACAGATTTCTTGTGAGTAGCACATCTAAGTAATCTTTTTTAACCAAGTGATGGATGTAATATTAATAAATGTCATTGTTTTATAAAGTAGAAACCATGTGAAGTTGCCACCAGCCCCCTGCTCAAGTCTACAGCTTGCTTGCAATTACCAGTACTGCTGTATGTATTTTTAACAAGCTATAATACTGTGATGATGCTGTAAACTTACCTCTGTAGGAAAAAAAAATGTTCTATTTCAAAATGTCAGGATGAAGGATGTAAATGTTCTGAAAGTGCTATCAACAACAACAACAAAAAAAAATAATTTCCACAGAATATTCTAAAGGATTCTGTTACATGCTACAAATCTATTTTACAAGGGTATTTATGGATCATACAGCCTAGTCTGTGAGAACAGTACTATTTTATTACAGAATAAATAAATGAATAAATAAGCAGTGACTATCCATGCCCAGAAGCTGGAAAATGTTTGGGTTTTTTTTTTTTTTAAAGTACCCTGATCAATTCTTTAGGTAATCTGGAAGATGGAGGACTCTGACAGAAGGAATCCACTCCCCCTCATCTCCCATCCACATCCTGGTGTTGTTAGTTCTGCCAAAGATCTTCAAAATCAGTCGTGGAGAAAAAAAAAAAAAGGACAAAGAGTTGCATGAAAACAATGCAAATGTGGTGTTGATAGGATTAATATATGTTGATAGGATTAATACCTGTTTTGGCATCATCTGAAGCCAGAGCAGGCAGGAGAGCAGCCCCGGGCAGGCAGGGCTGATCTGCACACACCCAGCGCCTCCCTCAGGGGCACAATCAAAAGTCACTCTCTGGAAATCACATCCAGTGGTAATAAAATCACAGCTTGAGGAATGCGAGGAGATTGGAAAATGCTTGAAGAATGCAGAGCTGGGAGCACTGCAGCCCTTGCTGGAGGATGCGTGGATGGTTCGAACCGCACTCAGCTCAGGGTTTACTGATAGCCGGGAGCTGGGGCAGCCCCAGCTCCACAGGGGAACACCAGCCCTTGTCCTTGGTGCCACCAGCTGAAAACTTCTGTACAAGTTCCCAACAGGAGTGAATGAGTTCAGCTCCTTCTCTTGGAACCTCATCAAACTGGCTGTGGTAAAAAATAGAACTAAAAAAACACCCGAGTCTCACCACACCCCAACCCTGTGAGGGGAGTTTCTGAGGAGGCACTGAGGGACCCCAGAGCATTGCAGATATTCCTGTAACTTCAGAGAAAAGGTTCAGGGTTAATGGAAGGAGGTCACAAAGATGCTCTCAGGGCTGGAGCCCCTCTGCCCTGAAGAAAACCTGAGCATTGGGAGTGTTCAGCTGGAGAAGGGAAGGCTCCAGGGAACATTCCTGTACCTGAAGGGGGCCTGCAGGAAAGATGGGGCACAGCTCTGAGCAGGCCCTGTGCCCTCAGGACAAGGCAGAATGGTTTTACCTGCAGGAGGGCTGCTTTACACCAGATACAAGAAGGTTTTTACACTGAGGCTGGGCAGGCCCTGCAATAGAATTCCCAGAGAAGCTGTGGCTGCCCCCGGATCCCTGGCAGTGTCCAGGGCCAGGCTGGATCACCCTGGGATAGTGGGAGGTGTCCCTGCCATGGCAGGGTGGGCTAGGGGGCCTCTGGAAGGTCTCTTCCAACTCCAGCTCTTCAATGATCCTACACTGGACCACTGGGACCACAGAGGATTTCCTCAGTAGCAGGAAATCCAAATTCAAATATCCCAGATTTGTGGAAAGGTTTGGGTTGGAAGGGACCTTAAAGCTCATCCAGTGCCACCCCTGCCACGGGCAGGGCCACCTTCCACCAGGACAGGTCCTTTGTGAATGTCCAGCTTTGGTGCCAGCTCATATCCAGGGAGTTAATGACACTAAAACTTCACTCCCTCTCAGAGCTGGGCTAGCAGCCTGCTGGGACTGAGATGGAAGTTTTTCCTAGAGATACAAATTCCCAGAGCCTAAGAGATGGATGGAAAGGAGACAAGGATGAGGGAGCCTGGAGTGCAGGGTGGTTTTTATAAAGCTAAAGCAAAAGAAAGGGAAAGTTACAGTGCTGCAGTCCATGGGAAACTGATTTTAATGATAATATGAGGAATGCAAGTTTCTCCAAAGGGTCAGTTATAAAATCCAACAGCCCAGAAGTGGATATCAGCATGCACAGAGCATGAAACAACTGAGATGGGAGAAACCTCTGTTAGCACAGAGCTCAGGGCAATGAACCCCACCACATCAGCAATCATCCAGAAGATGAAATCATCCAGCTCTGGGTGGCATGAAAGCCACAAAGGCAAAGCTACAGAGCACTTTGAAGAGGCAGATTGATTTGTTTCACAGCCACAGCTGCTTTTCCCAAGGAATCCCTCTTGAGCCATCCTGCTCCTTTTATGCCCCAGCAAGCACAAACTAGGCAGCAGATGAGCCAATATTCCTTGACCAGAGTTTTGAGGTTTCTTTGGATCAAAAGAAAAATCTGCTGCTGGAGGGAGGAGCTCCTGGAAGGGGAAAAAGGAGGATACATCACCCACCCTCTTTCCCACATCTTCCCTGGCAGAGTTTTGGATCTCTTTTTTTGAGTAGAGTTTTGGATCCTGCTCAAAAAGTTCAGAGGTTTAGAAAATAAATTATTTAGGGGATCAGATCATTCATCCCATTGCATATCTCTAAGAGCTGCTAAAGAAAACACTCAGATTTCAGTCTCTCTGCTGATAAAAGAATGAAACAACTGTAGTGAGCAGCAGGAAAATGCATCCAACAGCCATCAGCAAAATCTGCTTTGATTTTCCTGAGGAGTTACCTGAGTTCTGTTTGTAACATTTATGCAAACAAACAAGAGCTGTGCAGGCACTGTGTGTGAGCAGGCTGCTGTTCCACAGACAAATACTGTCAGACACATAACCCAAATAACTCACAGTTCAGGATTTACAGAAAGGCTTGACAGCAGCTGCAAAGAAATTTCAGTAGCTCTAGAAAGCTTCTATGTTCTGAAAACAGAAATATCAACATGTGCATGAAAGTCACTTTTTGTGGGGCTGCAAGGGCTGAAATCTGTGCTATAAAATGACATTTTCCAAGGATTCAGTTCCTGATCACCTCCTGTATACCTGACAGCCCTTCCAAGGCTCCACCTGAAATTCTGGGTGCCTCTCCCAGTGTTTGCAGAGCCTTCCAGAGGCTCAGAGAACCAGGGAGTGCAGACCAAAACAAGGAAGGAACAGAGGTGGGGCATCCAGGAAGAGACTGGAAGGCAGGAGATTTGAGGGATTTGAACATTTCCAAGGATCCCGGAGCAACAGGACGAAACAAGCAGAGTTTATTCATTATCCAGGTGCTCTGCAGGGACAATTCAAAAGGGGATGCTTTTGGGGGAGTATTTTTGATGGACTATTAAAGCTGTTTGCAAGGACAAGCAGCACTGAGTAACTCAGGGCTGGGCTGGGCTCCCACCTGGTGCTTGACCTACTCAGGATCCACTTCCAGGGAAATAAACTCTGACCAGATTTTTAAGCAGCAGAAGGCAGAACTTTGCTAACACTTCTGTTTATATCCCAGCATTTCCCTCCAGGTTTTCCACTGGTTTGTGGGAAGCGAGAACAAGAGGCTAAACAGCCCTCAAGGACTCTGATAAACAATCCAGAGCACGAGGAGGGAAACAACCCCAGGAAATACAAACCCACTTCAGCAGTGAGGGCTCCTGTCCCAAAATGGGGGAAGAAAATCCAACAGGGAGATTTAATTCGCTCTGCTTTGGCACAAAAATACAGTGTGGGTTCATAGACAGGGATATTCCTCCAGGATTTCCACAGAAAATGGAAATGAGATGGGAATGCAGAGAAATCAGGAAATGGGAGGCTGAGGAGAGTCAGGCCATGGCTGGAGCAAGGGGCTGAGCCCCTGCTGTCAGCTTTGGTCACAAAGGGCTGCAGAGGTGCCCACAGAGCAGCACCAGGCTTTGGAGGCCACAGTGAGGATGATTTCATTGTCTAACCCAAAGATTCCCAGCACAATTCCCTTTTATTTGGATGTGTACTGAACCCCAGATCCAGTATTTGAATAACAGTGACTTTGTCATCTTAAAAAATTACAACAAATTCCAAAGTACTTTCTTGCAATTCTTCTCCCAGTTTTCATCTGTTACTTTTTTTTCCCCTCTCTATCTTATATAGATTCCATGATTAATTTATTATCATTTCTCATCCCATTGGCATCCCCGGTCCTGCTGATTAATTTCTGTTACAACCTCATTATTTCCCTTCTATAAATACTGCATTTCATTTTACTGCTTTTTATAGTTAACTTTGCTTTTTGTCTTCCACCTGGGGCTCTCACTTTCAATTTACCATGAGGCAGTGGGCAAAGCCTGAGCTGAAATGCAGTAATTACACCTCCCTGCCCTAGCAAACGGAATCATTTATTTTCCTTATGGATGGGAGCAGCTGAGAGCTGCTCTGCAATCCCACAGCAATCCCACAGAAAACAATACTTCTGCCTTGCCAGATTAATAATGGAAACTGTTGGCTTCTGGAATTTGAGAAACCTATGGAGATGGATTACAATATACTGCAACATTTGCATTGAGGAAGGAGGAAGGGGTGACTCACACCCCAGCCAGGCAGATCTGGTTCCACCTGCAGGAATATTAAAGCAGCACCCAATCCATCACTGCCAGAGCAGCTCAGATCCACAATCATTGGAATTCTGGAAGTGACTGCCCACAGGAGGCTCTCCCAGTTCTTCACCCACTGGAGTTGTGGTTCATTCAGTCCTTCCACTCCTGACCCTTCAGCCTTTGCCACAAATCCCTGGGATCCTCTGAAGGTTTGGGAAAGCTTTTGAGTGCTTCTCCTAGAAGTGTGAGCATGTCCTGAAACAGAGAGCAAACATGGGATTATTCAGGATTGTATTCCTGCCATTTCTCGTGGCCTGTAGCATACACCCAGTCCCTCAAGCCCAGCCAGGTGGGCAGCACTCATCCACACAGTTGGGTGGGTTTGAAAGGATTCTGTTAAAAAACTGTCCAACAGCATGGCCCAAAGAGCAGGATTCGTCCCTAGGGAGGGACAGGGAAAAGCAGATGGCCTTGCAGGGAAGCAGGAGGTGAAAGTGGGAAAAAGTAAAGCCTCACCTGAGGCTGAAGCTCTCAAATCTTAGGTAGGAAGTGAGGAAGAGTCAAAATTCTGGAGACTGGAATTACATTGGGGAAGAAAGGAATGTGTGGTACAGCACAAGCTCCCAGCCTGCTCATCAACATGGGAAGAGACCTGGCAGCTGCAGGAAGCCTCCTGTCTTCAGTCTGCCCCTCCCAAGGAGGGAGAGAAGAGCTCTTCCTTCAGGAAGATCCTCCTGAAAACAGCCACAGGAGGCCCAAGGAATTCTGCGCATTTCACTGCTCCCCCCTCTGCTCCAGAGGCACTTCCCACCAACAAAGCTTCCATCTC